CTAGCTCCTCTGATGCTGCTTGGCCTGCTGTGTTCATCCAGCTCTACACCTTGTTATCTCAGATTCTCCAGCATCGGCAGTTCCTACTATCTCTTATATCAGATTGTGTAGTTTTCACCTCTACCTCACATTTACTAATATGATCTCATTCAGTTACAGTAAAATGAGTTCTGGCAGTTATATTTTTAATATGTTTTGGAAATCCTCTTATAATAACACCTGCCTGTTGAAAGAAAGTCCATTAAATATTGCAGATGAAACAGGAATTCCATTAGGAAAGGGAACATCACTGTTAGAACTCATGTTAAAGATGGTTCTGTCAAGATGTAGTTTAAGCAGAAATGGTATCGCCACCAGGGCCTTAATACAAAAGGGCAATGTCACCACTCTAAAAGATTGAGAGTATTTCTGAAGAAGGATCCAGACCCGAAACGTCAGCTTTCCTGCTCCTCTGATGCTGCCTGGCCTGCTGTGTTCATCCAGCTCCACACCTTGTTATCTCAGATTCTCCAGCATCGGCAGTTCCTACTCGGTCTGAGAGTATCATTGTTGAAGCTTTTGCTAATAAGCCAAAATATAATCTTTAAAAGGGCCCATGATCATGGCCTTGGTTTTAAACACAGTCTCACTTGAAAGAGGAAGTCTTCCATTTGGTTTGTTATAAAGACAGACTGTCATCGTTGCTTCCTCAAATATGTCAATCTGTGTATTCTTTCTGTATTTGGTTTCTTTTTAAAAAGCAAGCTCTGATAACATCAGGAGCAAACAGGTTTGTATAAATTATCAAAGAAACATTCACACAATGCAGCATTGTTGTGAAGTGGTTTCTGTTTGCACTAAGACTGTGGCAACCAAACAAATGGTGCCTGGATCAATGCATCAGGTCATTGCTCAGAGTCTCAAACAAAGTTAAACCGGACTTTTGGGAGTGGGTCATCGCAATCCATGTCAAAGACTTCAGTTCAGGCTTGCATGTTTCTTCAAACTAAAACTAGATTTGAAGCCTGAATATCGTGGGATCTGTCATATTTGGATTGTATTGTATAAGTAGGGCTATAGGACCCATGGTTAGAATTTTGCTTTTACCAATATTACACTGCACCATCTTGCTGTTTGACATAGCAATTCCTCCAAATACAGTTGTTAGTATTTGTACAACATAAAGGTATCAACCTCTGGACAGTAACTGGATGGTTGTCAGTTCAAGTCTGACTCCAGCATACGCTCATTTAAACTGACACATCAGTCCTGAGAGTGCTACACTGTCACAAGTGTTATTTGTCAGGGGAGTTTTTATTCCCATGTCTGCTATGTTAACAGCCACGACAGATCCAGAAGGGATTTTTCAACTTGTGTTCTGTCCAGGGCATGGGCAATGTCCTGAGGATCGCCACTGACCTGAAAAGGAATGGCTAATAATACCAGAGCCCGTCAGGGACTGGGTATTACCGGAATATCCCAGCTCCTCAGTTCCCCGAAGTCTTTGCAATATTCTCCATTTGCCTAGGATACAGCTGCAACAATACTCAATAACTTCAGCACTTTCCAGAACAAAGCAGTTTATTATCATTTCCTCAGACATTAAAAGAATGACGGGGTCAGAGAAAGGCCATTGAATAGAGTCAGTTTAAAGTCTGGTGGAATTCCCTGTTTGAAATGTCATTGTAATATTACTCCCCCCGTTCACACCTGCTTTCTGTACCCGAATATTGGCTTGTTAGGAATTCTGCAGTTTAAAGTCTAGGGATTACTACAGATAATTAGAAAAACACACACATTTAGTAAGCTTTGCGCAATTTGAGAAGCCATCAGTTCACTCCAACATATCTGATCACAATTAAATATTACATTTGTTTTAATTCTTCACTATTAATCTATTGAACCTTATTTGAAAAAAGTCTAGCAATTGCAGCCTTTGAGATGAAAATGGAATAATTTACAAACGACAAGCCAAAAATGTGATTTCATATCGAAACTAAACATCCCTTTTCGATGCCTCTGAAAATGACAAGCACAAACCCACCTCGATGTGCCTAAGCAGCAAAGATTTCCCTTTTCAATGAAGAAATTGTTTTCACCACCTGCCGCCTTTAGCCTACATTCTAGTGCCATGGAAAGGAGAGATCAGCTCTTACCTCTGGGAGTGTGTTTGATGCAGCTGATCCCCATGCTGAGCGGCATTGAGATGTCTCTCTCTCCCTACCTGAGCTAGTGCCTCTGAGCTGGATTATAACGCGGTGCTTCCTCACGTCCTGATACTGAGCTGCAGAAAGAGGAGGAGCCGTTTTGGTGGAAGTGGTACAGCCCAAAATCATTCACCCTCCAGTTTCCCCTAAAGGGGGGAGGCGATGGCTTAGTGGTATTATCGCTGGGCTGTTAATCCAGAGACCCAGATAACGGTCTGGGGACTCAGATTCGAATTCTGCCACGGCAGATGGTGGAATTTGAATTCAATAAATATCTGGAATTAGCAATCTAATGATCACCATAAAAATCTGTTGCTGATTGTTGGGGGGAGGAACCCATGTTCACTAATGCTCTTTAGGGAAGCAAACTGCCATCCTTACCTCGTCTGGTCTACACGTGACTCCAGACCCACAGCAATGTAGTTGATTCTGGCCAGTAAATGCCAGGGACACTCTCGTGGGATCCTTCCTTGTCAATCTGAGGAGTTATATGTGTCATGCACCATCCAGGGTAGTGTGTGCACACACCCAGCTCTGCAGCAGATTTTTTTTGCAGGGTTATCACATGGGGCATTAGCTTCGGGACGCATCACATGGTGTTAGGGAATGCCCCCACACTGAAGGAGGGCCCATTGAGTCTGCACTGACCCTCTGAAGAGCATCCCATCTTATCCCTGTAACCCTGCATTTCCCATGGCTAATCCACTTAACCTGCACATCACTGGTCACCGTGGGTAATTTCCCATGGCCAATCCACATAATCTGCACATTTTTGGACTGTGGGAGGAAACCAGAGCACCCAGAGGAAACTCACGCAGACACAGGGAGAACATGAGAACCCCTGTAGTGGACAGTGACGTAGGTTATCTCAGAGTAAGACAGAACTGATGAAGTATCATCTAGACTCAAAACGTTATCTTACTCTCTCTCCATGGATGCTGCCTGACCTCCTGTGATCTCCAGCATTTTTTGTTTTCAGTTCAGATTCCAGCATCTGCAGTAATTTGCTCCTACAACAGGATCTTGATCAGATGGGCCGAGGAGTGGCTGATGGAGTTTAATTTAGATAAATGTGAGGTGTTGCATTTTGGAAAGGCAAATCATGGCAGGACTTATACACTCACTGGTAGAGCCCTGGGGAGTGTTGCTGACAAAAGGGACCTAGGGGTGCAGATGCATAGCTCTGTGAAAGTGGTGTCACAGGTAGACAGGATGGTGAAGGCGGCATTTGGCACAATAGCCTTCATTAGTCACAGCATGGAGTATAGGAGTTGGGAGGTCTAGTTGTGGCTGTATAGGACACTGGTTATGCACTTTTAGAATGATGTATTCGATCGGGTCTCTCTGCTAATAGGAAAGATATTGTTAAATTTGAATGGGTGCAGAAAGGATTTACGAGGATGTTGCCAGGATTGGAGGGTTTGAGCTACAGGGAGAGGCTGACCAGGCTGGGGCTATTTTCCCTAGAGTATCAGAGACTGAAGGGTGACCTTATAGAGGTTTATAAAATCATGAGGGGCATGGATAGGGTAAACAGACAAGGTCTTTTCCCCAGGGTAGGGGAGTCCAAAACTTGAGGGCATAGGTTTTAAGTTGAGAGGGGAAATATTTCAAAGGGGCAACTTTTTCACACAGAGGGTGGTGCGTGTATGGAATGAGCTGCCAGAGGAAGTGGTGGAGTCTGGTACAATTACAACATTTAAAAGGCATCTGGATGGTACATGAATAGCAAGGCTTTAGAGGGATATGTGCCAAATGGGGCTAGATCAGTTTAGGATATCTGGTTGACATTGACTGAAGGCTCCGTTTTCATGCTGTACATCTCAATGATTCTCCCAAAATTTTTTTGTTACTAGCCGCAATAACCTCTAATTTGCTACCAGAAAGACTGAAGTCGTTGTCGTTGCCCTCCTTTACTAATTCCATTCCCTCCCTGCTGATTCAGAGAACCTACAACCCATTTGAACCTGAATTCAGCTTCTGACCCCATACCGTCCCCACTGGAACAATGTCTTTCTGGACCCCTGCCTTAGCTCATTCGTGAGGAAAACACTCAATGGTAATTTGGTTATCGCCTGGCTAGACAATTCAAATGCTCTATTAGCCAGTCACCTCATCTTCACACTCCATCGCTGCTGCTTTGAGACTAAACTGCACAGTCATCCTCTCCCATCGCTTTTCAACTCACATTGGCTTCTGATATGGCCATCTCACAAATTGAAGACACTTACTCTTACATTCAGATACCTCATTAACTTTACCCCTCCCTGTCTCCATAATCTCCAGCAACCAGAGATCCCTGCATTTATCCAACGTTGACCTCTTAAGCACTCCAACATCTCTTTGTCCTGCCATTGAAGGATCTACCCTGGCCTGAAGTTTTACAATTCCATCTCTCCTCTTCTCTGGCTTGTCATCTGTTTCCTCTTAAACCTCTTCAAAAATACTTTTGAATAATGTTTTCCTCCTTAACTTGATATCTTTTTCTTGATTACCCTCCTTGAGATTTTACTTCAGGTTGTTACATAAATGCAAGTTTTTGATGTTGCTCCCACAGAAATAATATAATGCTGTCAGTTTCTAAATGAATTACCCAAAAATTTGAGACTAGGATAAAAACTAGAAACATCAGCAGGCCATTCAGCCCTTCAAGCCTGGCTGTGCCATTCAATAGGACCATGGTTGACCATATCTCTCAATGTCATAGTCCTGTTTTCTCCCCATACCCTCGATGCCTTTAAAATCAAGAAATTTATCTATCTCTTGAACATTTTCAGTGACCTGGCCTTTACAGCCTTCTGTGATAGAGAAGTCTACAGGTTCACTCCTCTCCGAGTGCAGAAATATTTCCTAATTTTGGTCCTAAATGGTCTACCCTGTATCCTGAGACTGTGTCCCCTGGCTCTAAACTCTCCACCTAGGGAAAACATCCTCCCTGCATCTACCTAGCCCTGTTGGAATTTCTGGCAGACATTGGAAATCTGAAACAAAAACAGAGTGTGCTGGAGAAACTCAGCAGGTCTGGCAGCATCTATGGAAACAGAACCAGAGTGAAAGTTTTGAGTCTGGTAATGACTCCTTTTCCGAAACCCCTATCCCACGTGCTGTAACTTTTCTCATCAACCTCTTGTGAGGGAACTTATCAAGAGCCTTCTGAAAATCCAAACACATCCATTAGTTCTCCCTTATCTATACTAGTTACATCCTCAAAATAAAAACTCCAGTAGATATGTTGAGAATAATTTGTCTTTCAGAAAACCATGCTGGCTTTGTCCAATCGTGTTAATGTTTTCCAAATGCTCCATTGCGACATGTTTTAATAGACTCTAGCATTTTCCCCACAATGATATGTTAGGCTAACTGGTTTGTAGTTTGTTTTTTTTCTTTTGTCACTTCCTTTAGTTCTCTGGGATGTAGATGATCTGTCCCAGGGGATTAGCCAGCCTTAAATCCCATTAATTTCCCAGCATCATTTTCTTATCAACACTGATTTCCTTCAAATCTGCCTTCTCACTGCATCCTTGGTTCCTAAACGGATCTGAATGGTTACTTGTGCCCTCTTTGTGGAGACAGAACCAAAGTATATGTTCAATTCTTCTTTGTTCCCCATTATAAGGATCCTATATTTGGCTTTACTAATCTTTCCTCTTTTACATATTTATAGAGGCTTTTAGTTTTTATGTTCTCTACAAGTTTACCTGCACACTCAATTCTCCCCTCGATCAAGCTTCTTGTCCTTTTTTGCTGAATTCTAAAAGATTCCCAATCATCAGGCTTGCTGCTTTTTCTGGATTAATCAACCCGAATCTGAGCTGAATAAAAACCAAAAGAACGGTGGATGCTGTAAATCAGAAACAAAAACAGAAATTGCTGAGCTTTACCAGCCATTTCAGTTTTTGTTTCCAATTTAGCTGATCCTTAGTTACATAACAATTGGTTTGAAGTTACCTGCTTCATGTGGATCTAACACTCTTTTTGCATTAGGTCAGTTTCAGTCTCACTTGTTCAGACAGTTTGTACACAAACTGATGTCCAAGATGGCCTGCTCCACCCTATAAGCATTGTGTCATTCACTTATATCATTTATATTAATTGCTTCAACTTTAGCCATTATTCTGCATAGTTGTTCTCTGTAGATCTTACTTAGATGGGTTGGGGGAGGGGGAAACTTGTCTGTTTTGAATACATAATACAACATTTGGTTACAGTGTAGAGAAAATATCAGAATTAGGAGGTGGAGCTCTTTTACCTCAAGGTAAAAGATAAATGTTTGACGATAACAGAATGAATGAATGAATGAACAAACAAAATGAATGTGGAAAAGGTATCTTCACTTGTTGGTCAGTCCAGGACTAGGTAGCACAGGGATTCCTCTTTTTGGACAGAGATGAGAATTGTTTCTCTTGGACAGCCATATGACTTTGGAGCATTTGGCTTCGCAACATGATAGAGGTGGGATCAGTAAATATTTTTAAGGCAGAGTTAGACCAATTCCCTTGCCTGACAAGAATCACAGGTTATCAAGGGTAGATGGGAAGGTGGAGTTTGAAACACAAGCAAATCAGTTGTGATCTTATTGAATCGCAGAGCAGGCTGAGTGATCTCCTATTTTATATGAAAGGCAAATACAGGTCTGACATCAGAAAATTCTTCATTGAAGTTGGGTACTTCAAATGGACCTCTGGATTGAGTTGTAAAGAGAAAAATACCAATTTCCAGGAATCCTGGAGTCATCAGAAGCTCCCTGAGAGTGTGAATACTGTACCTGAAATGACTTTAAAAGCAATCAAAACTCCTGCTTTGACAGTTCCAAATTTCCAAAGGCTAAATGTCTGCAATATCCATTTATATAGTGTGCATTTTTTTTACTGGTGTATATTCCATTTGTAGTTGGGGAGATTTGCTGAATTAAATCTCTCCTTGTTCTTGGGAGCTTGACTTTTAGATCCATGATAAATAGTCTTCAGATCTACTGCTCGCGTAAGACGATCAGATTCACAGCACGCCCCACACCTGGAAGCAAAACTAAGCAAATAACAAAATGATCTCGTGATTGGGGCACA